AAGTGGTTTGATTAACTTGCTCTTAAGGAAATATCGGTGTTTGTCCAAAGCAACTCAATATCCGCGAACCGTCAGCTTTCAGTGGAGGTGGCTCGTATTCGAGTACTCGTACAGCATATTGACGTACTCGCCCTACCGTGTTCCATTCCGAAAAAAAAAACACATGCGCCTCCTAAAAGGTGGATCAAAAATAAAACTGGAAAGCGTCCATGAAATTTCGATTATTTCAGTCTAAGTTCAGGACTTACTAAAGGTTTGTGAAAAAGTATTGTTCAGGCGATGACAAAAACACTTTTGTATTTCGACCGAGAAACGAATACGTGAAAGAATCCATTAAAATAAGCCTGAATAGTTTTATAGGGTTTCGTCGTCCCTAGTCGCTTTAATCACAAAAATAATTTGCTCAGGAAAGCTACACTTTCCTCACACTGGTAGCAGGTCTTACAATTTCCGCCATGGCACTCTTCTCATAACTTTTCAACTAAATTCGCACCGACAATAAACTGATAGTAAAACCTAAGCACGAATAGTGTGTTGTGACAAAACGGTCTTACCCTGGGCATTTCTCAAGAGACACTCAGAACATACAACATTTAGTTACAGAGCTTCGAGGAATTAAAAAAAAAATACTGCCCGACTGCACATAAATAGAAGAGTCAACAGACAGGGCTAGAAACAACACCCCGAATTTTGAGTAAACAATAATAACCCAGTCTGTACGGGGACGTTGCACGCAAGTGGACCTCGAAATATATTGTCGCAATCATGAACACGCGTCAGAAAAACATTAACATTAAAGATATAATAAACACTAATCCGTCCGAGCTGCACACAGCACATTAAACTGCAATCCTGGAAAGGGGGCATTCAGCTGTTTTTTTATGCCTATTAATTGATATTTATTATATTTCTGACTAAATTTGCATGAATGTGATATTTATCCTACGTTAGAAGATAAGAAGTGAATCACTGGGATTGCATCATGTAATCATGTTGTTTACACTATAAACATGCTTTCCCCTTTTGTAAGGGATGGACCATTAACTAATCTGGGTGGGCGATGACAGAAAAAAATCGTTGCATAATATTGTTTTCCTTCACTGTGTTTTTTGGTTTCCGTGATGAACTTGCTGTAATTTATTTCCGCTGTGTGTAATGCATTTCCTTAAGATTTAAGTGTGTAGCTGTTGTTTCAGTTATTGATCATCCCTGCAAGATTTATTTCCATGATTTTTTTTCTGTGCAATTTTGTTTTTCAATTCTGCCATCGCTTCCCAAAATGTGTAATGATCGCGCACGATCGTACGGTGCGAAAAAAAAACACGGCCGCACACAACTTTACTTTATTGCTATTAATTCACCACTTTGTTTGTCGCATTTAACATGAGACGATTTGTAGTGTGTTTACGTCTAGTCAGCACCCTGCATTTGTTACGAAGCCGTATACGGCTGTGCCTAAAAGCGTTTGTTTACAACCGTAAACACATGGCAACAAGTGTGACACTATCATGATGACGAGTTTGAAACTAAGGTCAATTTACATAAATACAAAAGTGCATATTGCACGTGATGTCATTTAGTCATCACACACAAAAACAACATAATTTGAATATTTGTACTTCCTTCACTAGACCTCCGTCAGAACTCAGAGTAGCGTAGCTATAAATCTTAAAGTCAACTTTAATCACTTTTTACAAAATAAATCTTCATAATTTTTCAAAAATGTTGATCAAGAGATGTGAGCAAGGGTAAATTATATTTATTTAGTCTAAAATTAAGATAGACATTTGAAGAGTTAAAAGTCAAAAG